AGTACATTTGTGTCCCTCTCTTTGAATCTGTCGGCCCTCCCAGTGTTTATAAAAACTGACGGATGACGAAAATGGTCTCCCTATACCACATTGTAAAAGTAAAAGTGCAGTCCACCGTTCAGCCAGTGTCGCCTTGACTCCATTTTTCCTTCACCTTTAATGAATAAATTATAATGTAGACAACAAGCTCACTAGATGCTACATGTCTAGCTGATTGTTGTTCAACGAACAGCTGAATTTAAGGTAAAAAGAAACATCTGCAAATGGGATTATATCAGCTACTCTATATGCAAAATGACAACAGTTTAAAGTGACCTTGTGTGCTTCTAACTGCTTCTCATTGTTACTTAATCGTAATGTTTTCTTTTGGTATTGTTTTGTTCTCTGTATGTATGGAAATAAAAATAGAATTATACCACAAAAATTTAAATGGCTAATAAGGAACAGTTTCCAATAAAAAATAATACTTACTTTACCTTTTCATGGGTATTAAAATGGCACAAATATAACTGTAACACTGACGAAAATTACAACTGGCATTCATGAATGTACCACATAGTAGCTATCAACCCAAAGTTTTCTCTTTGTAACATGATATGAATAATGCAAAGCTATTATGTGGATTTTTTAACATTCCAATCAGCATCTATGCAAATATAAAGAAACATAAAATACTATAAACTGCGATATACTATAATATGTCAGTGATGACCCAATGTAGTTTGGTGACAAGCTGCAACTTTTACTGTATTATTTATCTTTTAAGTTTTTGTGAACACCAATGTGTGGTTTTCAAGTCCACGTGTTGTCTGGACATTGTGCTTACATTAAAAAAAGAGTTTCCAAAGTTGGCTACTAGCTCAGTTGGTGCTACACAGCTAGCTGATAACTGTTTAACATACAGCTTAATGCAATAATAAAGACATCTGCTCAATACTGGTTTAATCTATGGGAATTATGGGCTGCTATGGGGTACTGTTGGGCTCCAAGTGATGCATTTTGAGTCAGCCTACAGGAAGCAAGGATGATGATGGAGGGTACAAGAGACCATATGGGCAAACTGGGCCCCATGTGGTTTATCTGTTTGTTACCCTTTGAATTAAATCTGGGTTACAGATGATAACTCCTGCCTGTCACAGCAACTCGGGCGCAGGATATAGGAGGGCATTTGTCTGGTTGGAGCTGAAGCCAGTGCCACAATTTTTGCCTTTCACATATTGCTGCTGTATTCCAGTCACAGAGCTAAGCCTGTTTCTGGAAAAACAAAAATTTTGAAATCTTGTTAATATCCACAACATTAATATTTTTAAAAAATGTGAAGGTATTTCCAGAATCTTTAAAGACTCTTCCAATAATTTCAATGAAAAATAATAACAAACAACATGGTGAAAAACATACCCATGGTGTTTTTTCTTTAAAGATGCTAGCAGAAACACCATGAGCGAAAAAAGCAGTCAAAACCATGGCTGAGCATTTGAAATCACTTGAAACTGCAGTGCACTGACACTCTTGAAAAGCTCAATTCAGACTTTTGAAAGGGTTTATACATAAGACATCTAAGGAATCAATTCTGTCTAATTTGCAGGGTTGCAGGTGAGCTGGTGTGCTTGAGCTACAGTGACTGGAAATAGGTGAATATACAAAGAAGAGGGAACTTCGTGGAGCCACACAGTCTAGAGCAAGCAACGGTATAGAGGTATATCTCAGGTATTTTAAGGCAGGAAGGGATTATTTTCATGGAAACAAAATCTGCTAAATGTGTAACTTAGAGACACAGACGAGATTCATAGAGAAACTTTTTAAAGTTGTGACTAGACAGTATTTCCTATCCAGAAGTTGTTCTTCAACACATCATTTAGTTTTTTTTTAAATTCAAAATAAATGGCAACATCAATATAGACTAATACATGTGACACACTCATTCGTCTTCACATTGGTCAAAAACTGTGCAAGAAACTAAATATTTGTTCATCCAGATGGTTCGCTGAGTCTTTAAAAATTCTGGAAATACCTTCACAACAAAAGTAAGTTTTAGTTAAAGATGTTCATTTTGGGGAAATCTGATGCTTAGTTCTGCAGCTTGCAAAAACTGCAACGGTCAGTTTCACCACATCCATGTAGCCAACCTTCACCTTTGGCACTAATAATCTCTCACTATAAACCCTTTAGTCATCACTCAGCTATTTTAAGCTGATTTTGAACATATTCACAGTATTGAGCTGGAGGAACCAGGGATGTACAAGAGGCAGATTTACACAGCTAACTATTGTAACTATAGTTCAGACGTCAGTGCCTTGCACAAGGACACTTCAACGGTACTTAATGAGAAAGGGAAACGGGCTTCTTTCTTTTCCCACATGATTTGCAAATTAAAATGACCAGCTTGTTTAATCTTACTTTGCTTGGCACCACAATTTCTAACACTAGCTGTTTTAAATTCAGTCTTGTGTTACTTTGCTCTCACTTTCTGTCAGACTGAAAACAACAAAAGAGCACAGAGAAGTTAAATAGCACCTAAATAGTAGTCAACAACTGCTGCTAATATTCACCGATGCTAGAGGCATTATGAATGCATTACTATAATACAAGACATAACTGTTTCAAACCGGTTGATATGATCAGACGGACATGAGGTGCATTAGTGTAGACATGCTCAAACCTAGCATTTCCAAGACTTTTGAGATCGAAAGAATAAATATATATAGTAACAATTGAACAGTACAATACAAGGCCATGAACATATTGAAAAATAACCCATGCAAGACACATTTATAAAGATGCTGTACACAAAGATGTGTGACCAATTAAATGCCATGTGTGACAGTTCAAGTAATGGAAAAAAGGCGCTGAAAAATTAGGAAACAGGACTTGATAGTTTGAGAAATTAGTCCACTAACTGTTTGTCTTACATTCAAAGGAAACATCTTGATGACAGTAACTTACATTTTTAATTCTTGTTATGAAACACAAGGAAAAAAGACTAAGTCACAAACAAAAATTTATAAAAAACTTGGATTGCACTTTTGAATAAATGAAACACAGGTTTTGATTTTCTGTCTGGGCTCCTGTCACAAAAAGCCCGCTGGGTGCTGAAAAGTCAGATTGGATGGTCACATGATCTTTGCAAGAAATGTCATGGTTCATCAGAGATAGATTACATTGTACCAGTGGTGGTTCAATAAGCAAAACCATCTGAAATCAACAGTTCATCCATGCTGTTTTCCTGCTGTGGAGGCAAAGCCAGGACCAAGGCGATGGCACAGATTGTTTGGCAGGATGTCTCCTCTGCTAGCACTCCTGTTTCTGTCGTCCTCAAGGGTCTTTTTACCCCTTAGAACGAAATAAAGTGCAAGGTGTGTTTCCCCCTGAAGGGCTCTTTTCTGTTTGGTGCACACCTTTTCTCAGTAAATCCTCTTCTTCCAGATACAACATGGATACACATTCACCCAAGCACTCGCACGAACTCAGAGCAACGCTGAAACTAGCAGGACACAGACACACAACCTCACTGTCGCACACAGACACACACTCACGCCTGTTCTGTGCCAACAGCAGAAGCACAGCTGCTGTCTTCTGGATCATGCGGCGCGAGTCTTTGGCTCGGGCCAGCAGACTTAAGTCAGAGAAAGCGTCAGGCAGTGGTGTTGCCGTTAAGAGATGAAGTGGCACAGGGGGTGGTGGTTTGTAGCTAGGCTCGGGCCAGGCCAAGCCAGGCCGGTCTGAAAGGGACTAAGAGAGCGGGAGGGCCTGGCTCGTCTTTGGTCCCATAAAGCACTTGATTTATGTCAGGGTGAATCTTTGCACTCCGCTAGACTGGAAAGGTATAGGCATGGAGGTGGGGGGATCAAAAGGAGGAAGGGTAGCACTATCAGAAAGCACCGGCTGCTAAGCTACGACTGGAGAGATGTGCAGCACAGGCAGAGAGTTTAGTTTTTTTTTCAAGCCATGCAGTTTAAAGATCGTCCATAGCAACCGGCAGAAAGCGTTTTCGGGGAGTTTCAGATGGTAGTAGTGATGGAAGACGGGAGGCAGGACTTCACACATGAGCGTGCTCACAGAACAACACAGAAAAGCTCTCAGTAGAAGGAGAGAATAGCTGCTGTTGGCCTTTCGTTTGTAAAGTCCACAGTAAAAAGTGACAGACAGTGCTGCATGCTCTCCAAAGCACCGGCAAACTGCTGAAGACTTGAGGTGTCTGGGTGGGCCGACTGGGTGGGAGGATTATCCACAGATATAAAAGAGTATACATGATGTCAATATATAGGAGACAGAAGCTGACAGAACTATGGCAAAAAGCAGGGTGTACTGCAGACGTTAGGAAACAGAAACGAAGGCTGTGCTAACACTGAGAACAGCTGATGGAGAAGATAAAAGTATTTAACATAACCCCCCATCTCCTCAAGGTGGAGAGACAGACTCAGCCTTAAGGCAATGCATAGCCCTTGGAAACATTGGCACATGCATGAAGTGTGCAGAAATGTCTGCATATGTTTTGTATGTGCATGTATATATATGTACGTGTGTGTGTGTGTGTCTGAATATCACAATATGCAAAACAGCTGATCAGAGCAACAACTGACTTGATCAAACTTTTTTTTCTGTGTAGCTCAGTTGTTGCTGATGGAGATTCTGGCTACAAAACCTGCATGAAGCCTACTTTAAGAACAAATATCCTGATGCAAATTCTAAATTAATCAACAATTTTGGCAGGAATGTGTTCAAAGATAGTCTATACAAACCCCCAATATTGTCTATCCATCCAGATAAATAGAGGCAGGCTTTCAAATCCCCCCCCCCCAATATAACAAAGCCGAAATTGAACACTGCGGCAAAAGAAAAAAGGGAGAACGAAAAGAGACACAAAAAGAGAGCACAAGCAGCAGAAAAAAGACACAGTGAGCTCCCGCTGTGGCTGAAAGATGAACGGTGAGAATGAGCAGTGGGCGCAATTCGGACGCCACCTTGAGGGGTTGATCGTTATAATCGGACGAGCGATCACGTCAGATGTTGGTGAGCGTGGTGGAAGTGATGAGGCGCACAGTGAGCGTGCCCGGCAGGTCGTTGTCCTGGCGACTGCCCTTGTCGCGCAGGTGAAGCGTGTGCTGCTCCTGACGCTCGTTGGGGTCGCTGAACAAGATCACCTGACCCAGGAAGGTGTCCACGATCATGTTCTTGTTGTAGATCTGTTCGCCGCTCGTGGGAGGAAGGCAGAGATCCAAGAGAAAAAAGAGGGAAGGCAGAAAAAGAGAGAAAAGACAAAAGGCAATAAGCACAAAAGAGAAAACACAGGAGAAAATACACCAGAAAATAAAGGCAGCGACAGTTAGTTAGTTAGATAGATAGATAGATAGATAGATAGATAGATAGATAGATAGATAGATAGATAGATAGATAGATAGATAGATAGATAGAGTCCCAAGTGTTTAAGTATTTACACAGGAGTAACTTTCTTTGGGGAAGTTGTTTCAAACTTTTTCAAACTGTATTTCATAAAATGTTTAACCTCCAAAACACCAAGTGGTTTCTGGGTGTTTTCTGCTCCTGTCACATTTTTACTCACTGTGAGCTCATTTTTCATTGCAACATAAAGTCCTGCACCTCTATGGAAACAATCATGACAAGAAGTACACAGAACTACAAAAATGTGTGTTCTGTGCAGTATGATGCAGTTATAATGGCATAAATCATTAAAAAGGAAAAAAAAAAAACATTTGATGACTTATTTTACAAAATGAAAAAAAACAGGAATCAACATTGTTCCAATTGTTCAAAGGTGTCACGGACACAGGAAGAAAAGAAAAGAATCTTGATACTACAGATATTTTGCTACTTGTATTTTATTTTTTTTCCATGCTTGTCTTTCTATACCTTGTAAATTTCTTTTTCTTTTCCAGAATGTATACTGGGGGATGACTGTCATTTGTACTCTTACACGAGTGTACATATCCTAGTCAGTTCAATACAGAGGGACTTACAGATTTTACACATTTTGGAGAAGGCAAAGAGGATTGAACAGGTGCTTGCTAGGAAAGTCAGACTGCTGATTGTGCCCATCAGTTTGACAATTCACTGACATGTTCAAGTGACAATCCAAGACAGGAACGCCAATTTTTTCCCCGGCTGCATTTAAGGAATGCCGCTGATGATCATTAATTAAAAGCCATCAATTTTCAATCTGTCTCATTGTGAACTACTCTCCAGAGCTCGCAGAACTGATTAACGTTATTAGTCCGTAGAGCTGTTCCTGAATAAATTATAGCACCAGTAGTCTTCATAATGAAGACGCATGTCATCCTGTAGCAGTGACGCCCAATGATGTGTTTTTAATGGAACTAAATGGCACCCTGGATCTGGACGCACAGCCACGACTTGTTAGTAGGATTATTTCATTGCTGGTTTCAGTCTTTTCATGGCTTTTGCAAGCAAAGAAAAAAATATGTGGATTAATTTGGTGCTGACTTGTCTTTACAATTATACAGCAAAACAAGTTTCTCATGTTTGCAATTAGAGAGAGATCGAGTCGACAAAGTCATAGACTTTCTCTCTCCACTGCTTTGTGACAATATAACTATAAAATACAGACGATTTCTCAGCCCTAATGCTCACTCTTGTCTCTTTTCACTGTGTTACAAATAACACGATTTCATAGCTCTGATTGAGTGACTGTAACATCACATTACCAACGATAATTCTCCTAACAAGTACACTGTCCAACACATATTGCCACATATTGAGCCTGTAACTGATTAGTTATGGATATTCTGTAAATTTCCTCAGCAGCCTCACTTCTTTGTGACAAAAGCGCACAGAGAGAAATAAAGAATACTGAAGAATAATGTGTAATAGAGTGTTGGAGCAGCCTCTAGACTCAACCATTAACCCAAACTAATCCAGCAGTTAGCGCCACTTTTCTGCACTTGTATGCAGTGAATGTAATAAGTATTTAACCCCCTTGAAAGTTTTTCCCTTTAATTGCTTTTAAACATTGAATCATGGTCAGTTTAATTTTTTGAGAAGAATGTACAAAAAAAGACTCTTGATAGATTTCTGTAAAGTAATATCAAATAAATTAAAAACATAAAATGTAAAATAAGCAATAAGTTCTTGTAAAAAAAAAAAAGCCAAATTGACCATGATTCAATATTGAAAAGCAATAAAAGAAGGAAACTTTCAAGGGTGGTGAATATTTTTTACAGCACTGTATGTCTCATGTGCTTGTGGTTCCCGCTTTCGTTTATCTTTTCATTAACATAAATGCTTCATATTATGTTTTAACATATCAACTGATATGTTAGGAGGAGGTTGTTCTACCAGCGTCTGAGTTGCTTTGCCCTCAGTTTGTTAAGTTTGCAGCCTGTTTTTCTGCATTGTTCTGTAAACAATGATACAGCTAAAGAAAATGTAGTTTCTCAGCTGATGCGGAAGATCTAGATGTCATTATAGGACATTAAAAACATATAGTGTTGATTTGAAATTTAGGTTGTTTGTTCAGAAGTGCTTCAGCTGTCATTCCAAAGTAAAAATCAAAAACAAGCGGATTGCAGTGCTCCTGTTGGAGGCAGCGTGGCTCAGTTTTAGAAGATCATGCTAATGAATTTTTGCTTTCTTCGTGTGTTTAGCCTTTTAGGAAAGAAGTGGGTGGTTGAATTTTTTTTCATTCTTTTTGGGGGAAGAAAAAGTCTCACAAAATCAAGACAATTATTTTTCTCACTACCGTTGATGTCTAACAGCTGCTACGCATAGAATGTAGCCGTAACACTTTGGTGGAATCAGGACTGTATTATTCAGCCAGATGTTGCTGCACAAGCAGCCTACAGGGGGAATACTACAGAGTGACAGCTCACCTCAATGTGGATTCCTTCCTTGGGTTTCTTGCGGTAAAACAGGCCTTTGATGTCAAAGTTTGGGCACCGTGTGTCCTTATGAACTGGTGAACGAACCCTCTCTCCTTCACAGGTGATGATCACGTAGGGATCTACGGCTGTGGGAGAAAAAAACACAACCTCTAAATCAATATATTGTACATGAATGTGGTTTGTGTAGGGCAGTGTCTGTATGGGTTAATTAGGTGAAGAATTATTTATAAAACAGCACACTGTGAAGTTATCATGGCTGATCAATCTACTGATTATTTGTTGATTCATCATTTAATATATAAAATGTCAAAAAATTGTAAAAAAAAAAAAATCCCATCAAACATTCCCACAGGTTAGATTTGCATCGTCTTGCTTCTTTAATTATCTGTCCAATAGCCTAAAACCTGAAAGTGTCATATGTGATTGAATTTCTTACAGTTGAGATGCTAGAAAATAATCATGTTTGGCTTTTTTTTTTTAAGTTAAGGGATGCAATTCAAATTCAAACTGACTTAATAATTAGCTGTTTCAGACAATGTGAGTTCATCAATGTGCCAGTGAGCTCAAACAACAGCCAATATTAGTCTGTACTGGTTTGCATTTTTGCTTAAATTACTTAAGTCTTCAATTCAGGTGCATCAAATGAAGAATGATGACTATAAAAGAAAAAAAAAAGCACACTACTAAAAAGTGGTTTTCATTTTTTTTCCAAGCTCATTTTAAAACAGATCTCTTCACTTGCGATCATCAATTTTGAGAAACTCTCTCATCTATTTAAGTACAGTAATTGGGCACTACATCATTTTGTGCTACCCTATTCTAAAGTACATTTCATAGGAAAATATTGTTGTGTTTCCTGCATTTATCTTGCAGCTGTAGTTAGTAATTACTGTGCAATTACAGATTGTACAAAAAACTATGATAAAAAAATTAATAGAGAAACACTATGTTGTTAAAGATTAAACTATAATTTCCAACTTTTGGGGCCTTTTTTGAAAATAATCTGTCTGGTAGGACACTTCAAATGACAAACAAAGAGACATTTTCATTCTACACTTTTTGAATAATTTTTTTAAATGACTGCCTGAGGCTCCAAAAGGTAAAAGCATATAATATTGTTCAAAAAAGCAAAGAACATTGAGACATTTTCCCTTATTATTCATCTCAAGACTTCTCAAATGTATCTATCCCACTGGAATAAACTATTTAACTATACTTAAAATGGTTAAAACAAGCTCTACCTTGAGCACCTTCAGCAATAAAATGTTCTCTGTTCTCTATATTCTGATAATGTCAAACTGATTATTAATAATGAGAAACAGAGGACATTTTGCTGCAGAATAAGTACTTTTAATTGGTTTAAGTGCATTTTGTTTTTACTTTGGAATAAAGGACTTTTGTTTCAAAATGAGTTTTTACATTGTTGTATTTGTATTTGTACAATTACTTTAGGTAAAAGAAAGGAGGACTTTTTAAAGCCACAGTGTGGAGGATATGAACATTTCTGACTTTGCTGCCATCCTGTGGACAGTGAGAAAGTGAGCATGAGGATCTGACCTTAGAATACAGAATAAATACAAACTCTGCACCGGTCTTCATTCGAATTGTCTAAAAAATTTTTTACCTTACAGCATCAGAATATGAAGAAAAATGCTCTAATTACATAAGAGTTTCCACATTGTGGCTTTAAATTTGACTTGTGGGAGTTACAGCAGTTAGTACACAGACAGTGAGCGATTTAAGGGGAAACTCTTGTGAACTGTAGGCAAGAACTAAATAACTAAACTATTTCAGTAAGTCGTACTGTAGTACCTTGCGTTTGGCTCAGCAGTCTTTTCTTTTTGGGGTTGAGGCAGTGCAGCTCTGTGGGTTTTTACAGGAGTTTACAGATCATCGACATGCAAACACAAAGCACAGCACTCAATGTGAGGCAAGGATACAGCTGCTCCCCACTCCTACCTCCATTGGAATCTTGTCCCTGCAGACCCTCAGCGTTCAGTACATGGACCTGAGTGACCAGCTGAGGGTAGCCACACATCCCCGTCCAACACGTTTGAGGAGGCTCGTCCAGAGTCAGCTCTCTGGGAAAGACAGAGTGCACATGTTCTCAGATAAAAATACCTCACCTACGCAAACAACTCATCCTGGAATGTGAGGTGTGTTTCTGCTACTACCACAGTTATATCGCAGAAGTAAGAGCAAAAAATTAAGATGTTTGTGCTGCTTTTGACTACTCTGATGCAAGAAATGACAAAACCAATCAACAGTAATTAAACTGAAAATATTGTACAGGCCCAAACATATATCACAGACGATAACTCTTCTCTTAAGCTAACATAAATGAATGAAAGTGACTGATAATACTACTCTAGGTTAAGCTAATGATCAGGAGAAAAACCAGTACATGTATATTTCAGTACCTCAGTGCTTTTATTTTCAGTTGCAGAAAACTAAAACCAGTTAATTAGAACTTTTACGGATACTGGATACATAATCATTTTGAGTTCAAAGTGTAAATGAGTCAACATTTTTACCAGAAATGTCTTTATAAAACTGTCTGTTTTCTTCAAACTTCAGCATTTGTTCTAATCATCTTTACAGTTCCTTATTTGTAAACAAAATAACACAATTAAAGCCATTTCACAATGCACCAAAAACAGCAGGAAAAACATAGAAATATTACAATCTCCCAAAGAGTTCATATTCTAAAATAAAACCTAAATTTCTAATCAAACAGTCTGGCTGTAAGAACAAATCTCCCCTTACACCATCTCTGTACCTCACACACAGAACAGTGTGTTTGCTTTTTATAATTACTCCTTCTTGTCATACTGACCTGTCAGAGATCCTTTTCTCACATGACTCAAATGAAAAAGGCAAAATCCACAGTGCTCATTTTGTACTCATATAAAGTTCATGTAAGGCTTCAGGAGTCTGTGATAAAGACATCAAGTGTTAACCTAATCCCCACTCATTGAACGCAGTCCACAAAGTGGGTGTTGATGCGTAACAGAGTTTGTACATTATGTGATTCCACTTTTCATAAATCCTTGCAGTTGTGTTGCTTGACAGGTGGCACCACTTAGTAGTAAATGCTGCGGAAATTGGTCAGTTTTTGAGAGACAAACTTGAAGCAGGCTATAGAGCTCAGCACTCAGATGTGTTGTACTGACAATAAAAACTCTCTACGAACATTAACTTGTTGAAATGCTACCTGCATGTCCAAGTACCAACCAAAATGCATTTTTAAAAATGTAGAACAGTCCACGAGCTAGAAATTCTGCGAATAAACTTTTTTTGTCGTGGGTGTACACGGACTGCCACTCATGAAGTTCAAAATGCAACACTTTCTATTTAACTGTATTATTATTTAACTGTATTATCAGACATTTACTTGCAGTCTGAAGGCACATCAGTGAAGACACGGAGCAGGAAGTCGCCCTGCTGCCCGGGATCAAAGGTTGTGGGAATGATGACGTAGCGGCCCTCCTTCAGCTCCTTCCTGAGGAAGACGCAACGTGAGTTGATGTAGATGGAGCCCGCTACTTTCTGCTGGGCTGAGTGCATACGGTACTTCCGGTTTAGCTCCACCTATACGATGACAACAGCAAAAATCTGTCAGCCTGACTTATTCACTCATTTGTTAAATGTTGGTGGAACTTGCTGTGTGTGTTTCTACCTGGTGAATATCGAAGCCTATAGCAAGGTTTTCCCCTTTGCCCTCTTTGGGTGTGGCTCTTTTCTCTTTCTGCTGTAAGCAGATCAGCACCTCATCCTCCACCTTCTTCACATCAAACACATACTGGGAAAAGAAAAAAAAGACACCAGAGTCACAAGTGACCACTGATCACACTCCCCTCAATAACAACAGATGTATATGGACCGACCTGAGGGTTCTGCAGGAAGGTGGCCTTGTGATTGATACAGCCTCCAGACCGGTTGCGAAGGGGATCCTGGCGGTGGACCCAGGAGCCCCTCATCACCTCCTCCTCCCAGGTCTTGTGGATGCTCAGGTAGGAGGTGTTGATGAGGCGGCACAGGATGAGGTCAGTGAAGTACTGGCAGAAGTCGTCAAATGTCATCCTGCAAGAGGGCAGGGAAAGAGGAGAGAAGAGACAGGAGAGAGTGGATACCAACCAGAGGGAGAAGCTTGAAAGAAGAAGACCTTGAACAGGCAAAAAAAGAGGAAATGAAACCAGGAACAGAGCAAACAGTTACATGTTTAGGAAGAGAAGGACTTACGGTGCTGACACACAGTTTGATGTTTTTGAAAAACAATAACAGAATTTTTAATAACAGTATCATAAATGGTAAATGGACTGCACTTAAATAGTGCTTTTCTACCTTAGCGGCACTCAAAGCGTTTTACAATGTTTTCTCATTCACCCATTCACACACCAATGGCAACAGAGCTGCCTGCCATAGGGAGCAAGTTCAGGTTCAGTGTCTTGCCCAAGGACACTTTGACTGTGGAGGAGGCGGGGATCAAACCACCAACCTTACGATCAGAGGACAACCGCTCTACCACCTGAGCCACAGCCACCCACAAACATCATCAAAATCATTTGAACATGTAGTGTTTTTGAAATGTGCACTGACCTCTGTAGAAATAGTCCTGCTAAGCTAAGCTAACCACCTGTTCTACACCTGCACAACAAGTGGTATCCTTCCAATACTAAACTTTGTAGTGAGTTCCCATACACATAAATATTGTTCATTTCTTGACATATTGTATAAATGACTCTAAATAGGAATATAGGTGCAGACAACTGCTTTGTTGTTCATTTTCGTACAGATGACCAGAAACATGAAGTTAGTCAAAGGCAGCTCTTCTGTAGCTATTTTATAGGCAAAACTTCTTCAGTGGTGCAACGTGACCAATGTGCATGCAGAGACTTAGACAGTTTACAGGGAAAAAGTGCAAACCAAGTTGTTTACTGAAGCTAAAATTTACAGAGGTCCTGGAAAGCCTCACATGCAGATGGATGCTACAATACACCAGCATTCTATAAACGCCTCACATGTATCAGTAGACCCTACTGGGCAGCCTCTAGCCTCCACTCAGTGACTGCAGAAAAACTCAGACAGGTATGAGACCAGAAATTAGTTTGAAATAGAGCATTCTAATGTCGGCTTTTTCAATGCAAGCCATGAAAATGTTTATTTGTAGCTGACAGATTTTTGGAACCCTGTAAATCTTGGCAAGGAGAAAAATAATCAAATCTCCCAAAATGTCTTGAGTTTAAACTTCAACAGCCAGGTCAAGTCAATCACAAAGTCTGAGCATTACTGTCCTGAAATACAAATGCATGACTATGAAGATTTGTGTTGAAGCATATGCATTTCTTCATCAGCTGCCCTGGCGTCTTTACAGATAGTCTGGCTCATAGCGGCCATGTAAAAAAAAACAAATTGTTGCTTTTACACTTTTCTTTACTTTTTTTTTTTTTTGTACCTTTGGACAGAGCCTGTCTAATAGTTTATTCTAAATTAGTCTTTCTGCTAAGCTAAATAGCGACAGTCTATAGCTTTATATTAATCTGACAATAACAATGGTTTAAATGAAACCATCAAAATGTCACCAGGAAGAAAATAAAGCTCAAAATATCAAACTATACCAACAGCAGGATCAGCTCATAATGTTGCATGAGCATCAGTTCAGGATCCTCTAGATAATCAGGGCAGCATTACTCATTCATTCACCCATCCATCCATCATCTATACACCGCTTAATCCTCACGAGGGTCGCGGGGGGGCTGGAGCCTATCCCAGCTGACTTAGGGCAAAGGCAGGGGACACCCTGGACAGGTCGTCAGTCTATCAAAGGGCTACACTTAGAGACAGACAACCAAGCACACTCACATTCATACCTACAGACAATTTAGAATCATCAATTAATCTCAACATGTTTTTGGACTGTGTGGGAGGAAGCCAGAGAACCCCAAAAGAATCCACACTGCACGGGGACAACATGCAAACTTCCCGTAGAAACATCCTGGTGTCCCCACTGGGACGCGAACCAGTGACCTTCTTGCTGCAAGGCAACGGTGCTAACCACCGCCCCACCTTGCAGCCCGTGACTCATTTAGACAATCTTATATAATAATTCAATATGTTTTAAAGGGAAATTAACAAAAAGATTGTCGGTACATTTGTGGTTCTCACCAGAACTCGCCATCGTCCTGCACAGTGACACCCAGCTTCTCTCTCTCACTCTTGCTCACCTTGTTCCACTCCTCCGAACTGCAACAAACACATGAGAGCAAACAGGAAGATTTATTTGAAACAAGCTTATATTAATGGCAGACCTTCACCTTTAATTTGATCTGTTTTATAAGATCGGAGTTTTACATGAGAAATTTAGCTGCAGATGGACAAACATGACATAACTCCTGTTGTTTTACTGGTAGAAGTACAGATGTGGTACACAGTGTGTAAACTATTAAGAGAAGACATAGTTCCATCCCGACTAACTGTGTGCTGATGACAGACTACTATTTTTGACCCAGCCATTTATCAGTTTTAAGAGGATTAATGCATACAATGATTTTTTTCACTGATTATCAATCTTTAACATATAAAAACTAACTTAACCTCTCTGCATGCTGTGATTGTGAATATTTGGGGCCTAAAAATAGAGACAGTAATTTTGGTTCACCCCTAAATCGCTTCTTAAGGATGTGAAATGGAAACAGGTTAAATATATTTTAATTATTATATATATATTTACAGTAGGACATTTAGCAGAGTGTTTTAGTAATTATAAATGTAAAATTTCATTCTCAGTAACTGTATCGTGTTCAGACGCATAAATCATGTATGCATCTATCCATTATGTTAAAGCATCAGCTGGAAAACAATAGTTTGTAGTGTGTTACTGTGAATCATACTTAAACGTCAAAGCCCATTCTGTGTTCACTGCTCAGGGGAAACACAAGCATTTACTGGATGCATTAGCTTTGTGTTTACGTCTCTGTTTATAATTCACTGACAAACGTCCACATCTCAACAGTCTGTCTCAACAGCCTCCATTTACAGTAACAGGTTTTATCAAACCATGAATAAATTATTCAGTGACAGTGAGTGAATGACGGCCAAAGAAGAGAGATGACACGTCTCTTTAATAACATCTGTCTCTCTTTCAGCCCTATCAATAATTCAGACTCCATTATTATCCAGCTTTACCACCTCCCTGTTTGTTTCACAGAGTCTGGTAGCTAACAATTCAAAGACACTGATGTCGAGGGAGTAACTTTATCTCAGTTTTATGTATTCCTGTAAGAAGCGTAGTGCTGCATAAATGAAGGAGTTATGCAGAAACTAAAACTGAAATATGATGTATGAAGCTGTTTTCTGGAGCACTAGCAGTGCTCTCTACAGACAAGCAATGCGCCAACAGGGCTGGATTTAGTCATTCTTGTTTGCTCTGTGGCCCATTAGCTTGATTGCATTTCCATTTTTCATTGTCTACATGACATCTCCCATTGTGCTGCTTTCTTGTCTACGTCGTGGGCTTTATATATGGATTGGTCTTTGTTCAGTCTTTTGCTTTTTGCTCATTCATCACATGCAATCTCTTAGAAACTAGTGTGTCAAATTTTGAGGGACTAAGGGGAGCGGCGCACTTCCGACGTTTTAAAATTACATTAGGGAAATTGGTTAAATTGGTGCGGGTCAAAACAAGGTCACATATTACAGGACGAATCCATTGTTTGTCTTGCTCTGGAAATGTTCCACATTTGACTCAGAGCTAATTGTGTGAGACTGGAAATGACAGATGAGGACAGCTCAATGATCTTTCATGAGATTTGGGATTTAGGAGCTGCAGTGATTAATCCATGTCTGTAGGTGGCGCTGTGATTACCTGTCGCTCCAGGGGCCGCTCCACTCCTTCTCCCCCCAGGGGTTCCTCATACGGATCATGTGCAGCTTCTCCGACTTAAAGAAGGCCAGCAGTCCGTGACCTAGCCGCACTTTCCGTACGTCTGTCACGGCGTAGGCGTGGCCTTTGACCAAACCGCAGTCCAGCCGAGCCTCCATGTCTTCTATCGTGGTCGCCTGGACAACAGCAAAACAGGACGGTTCAGTGGTTAAAAACAGACAGGAACTCTGAATGCAAAGTTTAAGTTGAGGAACAAGAAAAGATATTGCGCAAAAGGTCTCCAAGTGTTGCTAAGCAGGACCTGTTTACATGGAAAAAGAATTACAAGGATCTCTCCAAGTGGCAATTTCTGATTTGTTACAAGCAAGCAGGGCTAGCCAATTTATTGAAAACATAATCAAATGTGAGTGTACAATACGCATCACTACAACATTCAAATCACAGGAGCTGCAATGCTTTTGCTATAGGAAAAATGTGATATACATGTCCCTGATATATATGTCCTTGTTCTCAAACTGTTTCTGCCCATCCAGATTAAAACACAACCCCCGAGATCAATAGCATTTTCTAAAGTCTCCCTTGTAAAACTCCTAAGCCTCAGAAGTGGTGTGGATGCACAGTGGAAATGTAGCAGAAGTTATGCATTTTAAAATGAAAACATGTGGATGTTGACTGAAACAGCTCCCTGGGAAATTATATATAAGTAGATGTTTGAGAAACCAAATCTGCTGTTTCAGTTTGTAGTTGCTTTATAAATTGCACATTAAATACACATTTTTATCAAAGCTTGACCCAAGCAAACATGCAGGTTGTTACTTGGAAATCCACACACAATGAGCTTTTTGTTTGTGCTAATATTACATAGTTGATACATGAGACTTTATTTGCCTCCCCTGTCATGAAACAAAGTAAAATTGATGGAACAATATCCAATAGGGGCTGCAAGGTGGCGCAGTGATTCGCACTGTTGCCTCGCAGCTAAGGTCGCCGGTTCATGTCCTGGTGAGGACACCTGGGATCTTTCTGCATGGAGTTTGTACGTTCTCCCTGAGCAGGAGGTTCTCTGGCTTCCTCCCACACAGCCCAAAGACATGCCGAGGTTAATGGGTGATTCTAAATTGTCCGAAGGTGTGAATGTGAGTGTGCTTGGTTGTCTGTCTCTAT